TCCCCAAACAAACTGTGCTCATCTTTCTTATACTCGAGCCTATTGTCTGTTCATAGGCAGATTGCACGAGTATACCAAAGAGCAGACAGTTACATATTTCACATTCACACAATACACGAGATGCATCTTGTACACCTCTCATAAAAACAAATTATCATATATCAGGATAAAACCACACATGTGAGAGTGAGAGTGATCATCAGACAAAGAGGTAATCTTAAACCTTAGATACGTACCGAGTTGGGATATCCCAACTCGAAAAAATAAAAATAGCCTTAAGGGTTGAACAACCTCAACTCAAAGATGAGCAGAATATTCCATATCTCAGAGGCAGTCTGTCTTTTCAGTTCCTTACCGGACCTTATTGCTAAACTCTCATTGGTTCTTTAAAATTTTATTTCTTCCAATGATCCTAATCATGCAATAATAACAATAATAGATATTGTAATGTTATGTATCGTAATGGAGAAGTAATAATCATGAATAAATAATGATACCATGATCAAGTTAAATTTTCCAACCATAAAGGTTTTCAAATACAACAATAATAAAAAATATTATATTATAATTTTTGAGGCATTGACAAAAATATATTGTGTCGAAGGGCAGTGTAACCCTTTCTCAAAGGGGTAACATCTTATTCTTGAGGCTCGCTCAAGGATCAAGCCTCACTGCATCTCCCTCTGATTCCAACACTTGCACCTTGTAGACCCTTGTCAATAAGGTAGTCAACCTCACCATACATACTCCGGGATGCGCTGACCCTTCGCATGCAGATGAACCCACTTGACACAAAAATAGTTGGGGATTCACCCCCTATCTCTCTGTGGCAGGCAGTAGCCGCCTCCCTCAAAGGTCATGGTCTGACAAGGTTCAAACACTTTACTCTTATTCAGTAGTAATGTAGTAATTTCACCACGAAGGATCAGACGACAACACCCCACTATGGACTAGGAACATAGTTCCGGCGTGGGTCTCACTACTACCTACAAGACAAGATTATAATTTCTTCAAAGTGATCTCTCAGGGAACAATAACATAGGGTTGCAACTTTCTTTAGGGTAGACTTCACACATTGGTCACTTTCTTGTGAAAGTCACTTTCCCAAGAAACTGGTCACTCCATCCACTTCCGAATCCGCATCGGACGTGGATTCTGTGTAACTTCTTTACCYTTTTTTAAAAGATCAACCCATGCATATCRATTCAGAATAAAAATAAACATAAGTYGATAATTTTCAAGTTGACTAGCTTACATRGATAAACTTAGAAGAATTGTATTTTAAATAAATAAAATMRAAAAGATAGTTAATGTGGCTARTCATAAATGARTAAACCTYAGATAAATGRCATCGAGTACATARAATTACATGAGTCTGCATTTAAATAAGCTTACTTAAATGTATGCTGACGTAAATGAATGAATTTCATAGATAGGCTCAAAGAGCTAAAATGATAAACTCAAATGCTTAGTTAAATAAAACGTTTATAGTTTCCCTTACARGAGTYTTTTCATAAGAGGAAAATACCTYYTCCTAACCCAAGTCATTTCCTATCGTTAGTGTACCATGACACTGTCATTCAACAATGCAATCCCACTACGATCATCATCACATCACTCATTTATTTAACGTCATTAATAAAGATTGTCGTTTTGTCTGGATCATCAGCCTGCACTTAACCTGGGTTTGTTCTCTAAAGGACCCCGGTAGGCAGCCGAGATCCCTGGCAAAGGCGCCACCTGTCGAGTGCATTGGTCCCACACGGGGACCCTCCCGGCCGCGTCACGCAGGATTTTTCAAGACTTGTCGCGGAGAGCGTTTGCCGCTTTGGCCGAGTGCGCCAACCGTACCTCTCGCGAGCCCCTACGACAGGATAGGGTCACGCGAGACACCACTTACCTCCACCTGCGGGAGCTGTCACCATCCCTTGGGTGGGCGTATCCCCGCCGAGCTACTGAACCACACGCGAAGACTTTTCGTATGCAACTGCAGAGGTGGCCCAACCGAGGGCGTTTCTCGTTCACTGTAGCATATCTGACGATCACTTATCACAATCAAAGTGAGACTCCTCTCAGCCATATACACTTAAGTGATCGCAGACAGTCAAATTCAAAGTCCGAACCACCAAACATACATGCAATCACATCAAAGATTCAACCAAAAGTCCATGCACTACACGGAGTCAACTTCAACCATGCTTTGCGCTCACACCCCTCGCTTTAGCTATACAAGTCTCACTTTTTGTGCAACTTTCAAAATAAAACACTCAGCATCTTTATTAGATGACCATTCAAATAAAGTCCGAGTAAAAACGCAACGAAACAAATCAAACCATAGGGCTAAAGCCTTTAGGTTGAGTGACAAAAGTGGATTGGAGTTTAGTCGAAAACCGGCGAATCGGCAACCGGCCTGTTATCAGTAATATTAGAAGGTGATCCTTGTAGGACCAAGCTGAATCTAACCCTGATTTCAAGTCAAACGTCCAAGAGGACCTGTAACACAAGACAAGTCAAGGTCAATCCCCAAGCTAAATCTATGAGTCCAAATCGAGAATAATCTTCATAATTACGACCTCACCAAGAATCGTTCTACTTAACTAATCATGAGTCTACCCTTAAGTCAGTATCTAATAAAAAGGTAGATCTTTGGCAGAATCTCCTTTATACAGAGTGGATTGACAGAATTGCCACCTGCCAATCTAAGCTAAGAAAATTTCGGCAGCGCTTCCTGTAGAGAAAGTGCTATCCCAAGATTTACACAAAGTTAAGTTCAGAATCAAAACTGACTTTGACTTCTCAAGGTCCCATTTTAAACTTTCCGAATTACCAAAAATTTGAGCAGCACTCTCTTTAAGTTCAGAATCAAAACTAACTTTGACTTCTCAAGGTCCCATTTTGTCTAACTTCCCGAATTACCAAAAATTTGAGCAGCACTCCCTTTAGAAAAGAAGTTTTTTCAAATTTTTACTGAGCCAAAAAGTCAGAAAAACTGGACCCTGAAAAAGGCAAAATCTGACTAACTCCTTGGTTTTGTAGAAATTTGGGCAGCCCTTCCCGTAGAGAAAGTGGCGTACCAGAATTTATACAAGACCAAGTATAAGAAATAATCCCAGAGAATGCAGAAATCGACCTAGTAAAAATGAACTTAGCCCACAAAATGCAGGAATTGAAACTAACTCATATGGCTCTACCACACGGCGAGCATCTAAAGCGACTAAGCTATCAAAAAAGAAATCCCCAGAGATACCCCAAAAGAAACATACACAAGTGAGCACAACAACATCTCTCACCAACTCACAAGTTCTTTTTCAGGTCACATAGTTCGTTCAAAAAGCCTCGTTATTTCCTTTTTTTCTAGGTTGTTGGATCGGACGTCCGGGACCCCCCTGACCGTCCGGGATGTTCGACCGGACGTCTGGTCGGATGTCCGACCGGACAGGGGTTGTCCGACCCAGCGCAAAAAAAAAAAAAAAAAAAAAAAAAAAGTCTTCAGAAAAATCTGAAAAAAATATATGTTATGTAACATAACAATACAAGCAACTTTTGCCTTGGAGTCATGTTCAAATTCGCAGTCAATCATAAGTGAAAATCGGAAACCAAAACGATCTTACCTTTCACAAGAACAGTCGCCCATTTTTCAGGGCGCTGTTTGGTGCACTGGGGTTGAATGCCCCAGTCACGTCTTGGGGCGCCATCTGGCGCTTCATTTTTAGTTAGTTTTAGTTTTTTTTTTTTTTTTTTTTTTCGTTGGCTTATGCCAACGGTTGCCACGAACTAATAAAAAACAGGCCCGGGTTCGAATCCTTGATGGAGATTGAAAATTTATTGGACCGTTTCTCGATTTATGCGTGTCATGTTTGCGCATGGCCATGCTGATCTACGGTGCGGTTAATCTCAGCCGCGCGATCTCGATGATCGCACGACCGAAATTGCTCGCGAGCTTGCCCTGGGCACCCCTCCTGCCTGTGACCCAACAACGCCTACTCAAGGCCTAGTGGCCTTGCTTTCTAGCCTACTCCCCGTTGAATGGCCGCACGACCGCGGCTCGACGGTCACCCAACCGGGTAGGCCACAACACCGGTCAGTCGGCCCCCTAGCTTGAAATCAAACCCTGCGGGCCCGGAAAGAAAAAAACTTCCTATTTCTCCCGCGTTGTGGCCCCATACTTGGTGCAACCGTTCTTTTTAGCCTACTTAGACCCTGAAATTTCTGAATCGCGCGGGTGCTAATTTTAGGTAGAATAGGTCTAGCTCTACCACTTTCATGCCCGCATGCCTTTGCGGCTTCGAGAAGAGCGGAGCACTACCAACTACCATCGTTACACTCGGACGACAAGCGTCTGGACTAAAGCTCGAAAACTTTTAATCTCTCAGTCATACGCCACATCTGAATAAACTTTTGGCAATCGTCAGTCCCGTCAAGTCCTTCAACTCAACGAAAGAGTCGGACAATGTCAGACGTTCAAAACCCCTGACAAATACCCTTGTCGGGGACAAGGGTATTTGCCCCGACAACGGGTCGGGATGTCGCCGACCGGGGTGCTTGTCGAATGAATTGGTCAGCGTTGGAGCAATTTGTTTGTTGGTGTCCGAACTGGCGGCAACGGAAGCAGCCACCATTGGCTTGGAGGTAGGTGCATTCCTCCAGTGTGAGTTTCTTGATGCGGGGAGGTTGGGTGGATGAGGAAGGTTGAGCAATGTGATCCTTGCACTCCATCCTCATGAATTGGATGGTGTCGAGTTCCTCGATGGTGAGTGACGGGGAATCGAGTGAGTCGGAAAGTGTGTCGAGGTCGGGTGTGGAGAACTCGTCCGAGGAAGTGGTGAAGGTGGTTTTTTCGTAGGTGATGTTGTGAAAGAAGCGGGGGCTGGAAAGGACCGATATGAGTGTGGCCTTGCAGGGGGAGAGAAGGCGGTCGATTTGGAGGGCACGAGCGAGGAGGTCGGCGGATGTCATAGACGGCTCGTGGACGGCATACCCTTGCGGCATACCCACTTGACGCGGGAGATGAATGTGGTGTCACCAATGACGTCGATGGGGATGTGTTGGCAAAGCGAGCAGACGTATTGAACAAAACGGTCAGTTGGCCTGTTTTGGCGGAGTCACAAAATTGGTCGAGGTAGTCGTCGACTGTTTTCAATGGACGGAAGGTGGAGGTGATCATGGTGGCCCACTCAAGAAACGAGTGAGGTGGAAGATTGGCATGATGGCGGTTGGACATTTTTGCGTACTAGTGAACGATGCCTTCTGGGAGTTCGGTGCCAGCGATGGGGAGCTAGTGGATGACGGGAACGTTGTGGAGGGAGAAGGCTTGTTGGAGTTTGGTGAGAAAGAGGAAGACGCCCTCATGGGATTGGYCGGAGAAGGTTGGGATCTCGTTGGCACGAAATGATAAGGGAAATTGCCGACTTCGGGGGCAGTAACGGCGAGGGCGTTGAAGTCAAGGGTAGGGGAGGAAGAAGCGATCAAACTGAAATTGTTGGTGGGGTTGGCGGGAATGAGAGGGTTTGGGGGAAGTAGTGGAAGAGCGGGGTGGGGGGTTTGTGGTGTGGGAGTGATTTAGGTATAGGTGGGGTGGGTGAAGCTAATAGTCGACGAAGTCAAGAGAGGTTTCGATTGGGGGGGAATTGTCGACGACTGTGTAATGGTGAGGTTGTCGTTTTGGGCGAGAGGGGAGGTGGGATGACCATGGTGGAGGTGGTGGTGGATGAAGGCGGGGGCGTGGATGACGTGTTGGCAGAGAGAACGGAGGATGTGGAGAAGGAGGTAAGTGGTGTAGACGTGGAGGCAGAGGGTGGGGGAAGGGTGATGGAGTCCGAGGTGGAGGAGGGGGCTGTGGTGGTGACGACCTGGATGGTGGAGGAGGCATGTTGTTGTTCCATGGTGGTTATCCGGTCGGAAAGGTCGGAGAGGGATGTTTGGAGGGAGTCAACGGTCGCCTTCATGGTGGTCATAAGGGAAGATAGGGTGGAAGAGTCAGAGGGGGCCTCTTGGGCGGCAGCCCATTTGGCAGTAATTTCACGACGGAGGCTATCGACGGACTGGGTGCTGATGGAGGGCAGGTGTGAACATGTGACCTTGAGTACTTTGCTGCTCGACTATTATCAGCATAGGACGGAGTCCGGGCCCATTTGAACTATGGAAAACAAAGTCCACCCAATTGTGGGCCTGCGACAATAATGAGGGGGTGCCCTGTGACATCAGCCTCCCCAACGCCGAACTACAGTGCACAAACGAATGATGGCCTGACGCCATAGAAACGGACTTTTCGGCCTCAAATGCGGACGAAGCAACATCTCTGACACTAAATAACAACCCCCGCAGACGGGAAACATAGTGACTGTCCACGGTGCTCTTCCCACCAAAATAACTTGAAAGTGTTGCACGGTGTTGTTTCCTACAACTACACGATGACAGCGGGACCAGGGGCCAAGTCCCACTAACGGAGGGAGCTTCCGTTGTGTGTGACATTTTTTCTCACCACTGATGTTGAGTGGTCGTAGGGTGCATAGGCGGGCAGGTTTTTCCGCGAAGCAATTTGAGGTACGGGAGGCCAAGGGAGCCCATAAGGTGGTTTTCGATTGGCCAAAAATTTTGCCACATTTTTGCTCACAGCCTGAGGTGTAGAGTGGTCCTCACTTGTGGCCCGACCCACATTGGGCTACAGAGGAGGACCACCTGTCCCATTTGTAATCACTGCTCTTACCACTGTGGTAAACTCATTTCCCTCAGTGGCAACGGCCGACAGGTTTCCAACCACTGTCATTGGCCCGTTTTCAGTCTGTCTCATCATTACGGACTTTAAATCCTCTCTCTTGGGGCCTCGCCGGATGGTGGGCGAAACGGAAAACGAAACTACTTCGTTTCGTGAACTTGTTGCCGCACAATGCGCACTTGAATCTTGTCAAGAAAAACTCGCGTATGTTGTCAAAGTTGGATTTTGCGAGGTTGAGCACGTGTGCGTTCCTCCCCCGTCTGCAATACACATGAACTCGTTGGTCGTCCGCTGGGCCGGTGGAGGCAGTGTGAAACCTCACGAGTCTAGCGAGCCGGTCCAAATGGAGTCCGTCCAAAAAATTTGGACCTTAGCGCGTGTCGGAAGTCGCATAGCACACATGAACCTCGGAAGTCGCATAGCACACAGGAACCCCGCACGAATCTCGAGACGGAGTTCCCGCAAGGGAGTTTGTGTGTGTTGTGCGGCGATGTGGCCAGAAACGAGACGAAACGGTGATTCAGGGCGTCACGAGGCCTCGCAAGTTGGGAGCTCGTTTCACCTCGTTTTTTGCACTGTCCGGTGAGCCCCTCGGTTTTCTTTTTTCTTCCTCTTACTGTCACTCATCTGCCATGCTGCAGGGCGCACCATCACACAGTACCGGCA